GACGTTTGTAGTGCTGAATGTCGATCAATAAGTTGGGCGCGGTGGTAACCCGCTTGAACGACAGAATCAGGGTAACCACGTTTATGGAAAAACTGGCACATTGACTCTGATTTGTGGTGGAAATCAGAGTCATCACTACATAAACGACGAAGTCTTAGAAACTGAGAAAAAGCAATGGAATTCTTAAAGTGAGATGGATGCGAAGACCGAATACAACAAGTAATTATGCGAGTCTGTAGCTTGGTAATACACACTAGTGCATAAACCGTTGCCTTCAATTGAAACTTCGATGTCTAAAAAGGATAAGGAATTGTCAGAAAATTTCTAGGTATATTTAAGAGCCGGGTGAAAAGAATTGACTGCGGTTATGAATTGAGTCAGCTCCTCCTAGTAGAGGAGGTGGCGCCGATAAAGTCGTCGATGTAGCGACTGTAGAGTTCAGGTTTGGAGCCGTTGTATTGCCTGAAAAAGTGGTGTTCGACAAAACCTACAAAAAGACTGGCATAGCTAGGTCCCATTTTGGTACCCATGGCTACACTATTGGTTTGTTTGAAAAAGTTGTCCCCGAATGAAAAACAATTGAGTGTGAGCACTAGTTCGGCTAAGCGTAGTAGTGTTTCAGATTTAGGTTCCTTAACAGTACGTTGATCAAAAAAATTTTTAAGGGCCAGAAGACCTTCGCCATTAGGAAATGACAGTGTATAGAAACGCAATATCCATTGTGAAAAGAAGTTTGTTTTGGCCAAGGAAATTAAAGTCGCGAAAAATTTGAAGTCAAAATATCATTGGCAATTGCATTAACACGTGTTTCAGTAATTGCGTCATTACCGCTTGCTGGGCCTGCGATATTTCAATTTCATAGTTCTTCATATCAACATTTGAACTGAGCCGGCATCACCTTTGAGCCCTTGGTCTCCCTTGTCCCCCCTCATCAACTTTCAAACCACGGGGTACAACAGGACTAGTGTCTCCTTTGTCTCCCTTATCGTCCTTGTCTCCCTTATCTCCTTGCAAACCTGGTGGTCCTTGTGGCCCTAGAGGCCCTTGCTCATCATCTTTGCTATTCAAATGATTATCACCATTATACCAACCCATAAGATATCTCATTATCAATCTCTTATTAAACAATGTATCATTATGTGAGAATACTTTGATAATGCCGTATAACTATTTCTTCGTGTTTCTCTCATTGATATGATACAAACAATAATAACCACATATCAGGTCTTGGAACTGTTTGCTGTTATAAACATGATTGACATCCAGACGGTCTGTCAGATAGCATAATGATTTTCTAAGGACAGTCTAAACCAAAGCTATCAAAATACTCTACCACGTCATCTTTCACATTCACTCTGACCCAATGCGTGCCTGCACCAACCTTGTCATTCAGATTAATCACATGATAACCCCTTTTAATTTTCTCCTTCAGTATCTCATCTTCTTGACAACACCTTATTAAAGTTCTTCACTTTTATGCACTTGATCCAGTTGAATATGTTAAAGTTTGATATTGCTTTAGTTACAAAATGTCACCGAGAAGAGGGACTTCATTGAACGGACTGTTTTTCCCAACACCGATTCTTTTCCCTTTTTAGATTGGGTTCTTTTTTTTTTACTAGCCTTTGTGCCTCTTCCAAGAGTTGCATCTCTCGAACTGTCAATAAATGGAGGCGGTCTCTAAGGCATCATTTGGTTATACACACGATTCTACAATCCACCGCCATCAGATGCCAATATCACAGGAGGAGGCACTTCTGTGTGATATTTTCTGCATGCCTTTTCCTGTCAGCATATTCATCAAAAGAGGGAAACCAATGCTCGCCAATATGGTTGCAATAGCACCACCTCTCTGTGTCTTCGTTGGTTTGATTTCCAGATCACCACGATCACCCTGCAATGCAGCAATTCAATGTTTTCATCATACTCTTCGACCATTTTTTTGACTGATTTCTTGGGCTTTGGCATTAATTTGGCTTTGCTCTGAGCCTTTAATTTTTCTAATTCACCATTCTGATTAATCACGAGATGAATCAACTCAGATTTTCACAATTTTTTTCAGATTCAATTTATACATATCATATAGTTCGATTATACTTTCACTCATTTTTAGAAATCAATTATTTTAACCTTTTTTCTGAAAATTTGGACTTCAAGAAATTTTCCTAAAGACCCTTCAAACTTTTTTAACCACTTCTGGACTCCATAATATATATAAGGAATATTTCTTTAAACCATTTTTCTGAAAAGTTTGGTTTGAAGAAGATTTTTACCGACCTCTGGATGAGTTGCAAGTGGAACTTTTTGAGGCCCTAAGGTTAAGTGGTCCAGAATCCCATGTGTCCTGAGGTGACTGAATATTTTTTATCCATCTCAGAAGCGCTTTATAGTCTGCTTCTGAGAGTGGTGTAAAATGTTTTGGGGCTCGCAGGAAAGTGGGCCAGAATCCCCATTTACTATACTACTGATTTGTTTGCTGTTGTTCTTGGAAAAAGGTGGATGCATAGGTAAAAAGGTAGGTAGCTGTATAAGCGGACTTCTGAGAGGGCAATGGCTTTGGCTCTATCCCTAAAATGTGCTGTACTCACGGCTTGTTAAACGTCCAAGGTTTAACCCTATGAACTGCGAAAATCACTGCTTTCAGTGAGCCATATTTCAGAAGAAAATGTTCGCATTTGATACTATGAATATTTTTGTAGGCATATGGTGGCTTGATTTTACCTATTTATTCTGTTAAGAAGACGATAACATTTCATTGTCCCACTGACCAGTTCCGTTATACACACAAAGTCAAAATTGACCTGGCTTAGATATTTTTGTTTGAATAGTCTCAACAACTCATAATGTCGGATGTTCATTCAGCTAAATTTTTAATTTTGCAGTCAAGTAAGCCAAGAGTTTGGTTTGCCCTTTTTCAAGAAAATACCTTTTTGTTATTGGTACTGACTAAACTTTTTCAGGTAATGGCCATGATCAGTGATTTGAAGGAAACTTTCATTGCTAACCTCGATAAACTTGGCTGGATGGACAATAAAACAAGAGCCTACGCCAAAGAAAAGGTACAACTGTAAACACTTTGACGAAAGACTTCCTTCCATGCTGGATGTCTACTTTCCGTCAGTGCCTTGTTCAAAAAAAGGACACGACTTTATAAAATTCTCCAGTGTTTCTAACAAATTCAAAGTTCTTATGACATTTTCTCGACTATCCTTTTAAAACTTCGTTTTCTATTTTTGTAATATACCTATATATTCATGGATACATTTAAATGGTGACCCTTATGAGATCCTCAAATCAATGGGCAGGTCAGATTTTTCTTCTCAAGAGATTTGCGAAGCAGTAGAAATTGCTAATAAGTGGAGCTGCTATTGAGTAAAAAGTCGCATTCAAGCTTTTTTTCTCTCAGTCATTGCTGTTGTCGTGATGCTAATGCTTACATTGTTTTTACAGCAATAAAACATCCTCATTTAACCTAATGATACATCAGATTGAGAATCAAGGGTCAATATGGTGACAAATGCAGTGGAACTGTTAAGCCCCCGAAAATTTTTCTTTCGCCCCTCTGTCACAACTCCGTCGCCTATCGGCGTTACAGAAAACATCTCAAATCCAGATTCTGATGTTAAACATCTACCTGGTAGATAAATTTCCCATTCGCTAAGTCTCGTAGCTTCTCATCTAAACAAAAAAATAAAATTGGTTAAGGTGATACCTTGTAACAACCTAGTCTAATCGCTGGATAGCAATCTGAAAAACAACAAGCTAAGCGTTGCAAGTGAACTATATGATGTTACAAAAAATTTTAATCGCCGACCCAGGTATACTGACCCCGCTATCGTTCGGTCAATTCAGTAAGAACTCAGTTTGGGCTTTTCCTGAAGCGATTTCACTACATAGTCATTCAAATATTAATACGTTGTCTAATACACATAACCAAAAAATTATTTTGTTACCTTCAGGCTTCTGCAATCAGACAGAACATTGGGTACCCAGAATATATGAAAGATAAACGAAAACTATCAGAGAGATTCAAGGACGTAAGTACATGCGTATGCAGGTTTTTTTTTGGAGACGAGCTCTGGAAGAAATATGTTCCCTGGACTTTTCAGTTCCTCTCGGGCGGAGTATGCTACCATGAATTTGTTAAAAATGCAATTACTCCAGTTTAATTATTATGTGCCTTAGTAGTGCCTAATGAGTATCTGAACAGGTATTATCTCGTGGTTAGAATCGAGAGAGAATAAACAATAACTACCTAACACTATTCTTTGTAATGAGGCAGTGTGGCCGAGTGGTTAGAGATATCAGAAATTACATAAAAAAAATTATAACAGACTTACCGCCAACGACATGTTGCATCCGCCATCATGGATATCAGAAATCACATAACAAAGCAATTATTTGAAAATATGAGGCATTGTAAGTTTCATGTAAAAATATAATTTAATCTTCAAGAGAGGAGGAACGCATATCAAAAAAAATTATTCCAAAAAATCAGAGTACTTAAAGTTCATTAATTTTCCTGAATGAGAACCCAATTCACATGAAGGAATAATGATTTCAATGTCTTAACTATATCTCTATAGCTTAGCAGATGATTCCTTTCCTGCTTTGTCTTTTATTTCCTCATACCCATCTTCCTCGTGCCCCAGAACATTCCTCATTAGGCATTTCCTTCTCCTCCTCCTCCTCCCTACACGATTGTTGTGTAGCCAGTTAAGAGAGTGTTAGGAGAAAGCCATCTAGTTTTGTATGGCGGATCCATGCATAACATCAAACTAGAGTACTTGTCGTTTCAAAAAAATCATGGCAGCACTACTCTCCCCGAGTGGTACCGGAAAGTCATTTTTGGGGGTACTGGCCTACAGACTACATGGACTACTAAGCATCGTCACAAAGTGCTCATCGGGAAATATGGACTTTGTGGCATACAAAAAAAAAACTAAGAAGAAACGAAAAACCTAAATTTGACAAATATCAATATTTATAATATTTGTTCCACTGATCATGGAGATGCACATTTTCTGATTGCTCAAGGATTGCATCATATCTCGATATAATCACCTCGTGCGAAGTGATCACAGCAATTCTGAAGAGCACAATAGACGCTACTAAGTTTGGCGTAACAATTTTCAAAATAAAGATATGAAGTCTGTATTTATTGTACAAAGTGAACCTGTCCAGAGGAAACTGGCTGCTTATCTCGATACAAGTAATTGAACAACTGCAACAAAATGGTTCAGGCAACTAAACAAATTTACAGCAAAATTTGAAAGCATCTGAGCAATTATACTAAGGTAATTATTCGCCTTAGGCTCATTCAATGTTGCTGAATAATACCCTCGCCTTCACCTCAGGGATCTTTAAAAAACATTTACCGAGCCTGAGGCAAATAATCGTTAAATACAATGGAGTGTGTGCGGTCACATGACTATGACGTCAGAGAAATTTTATGGCCGCCATGTTGGAGGAGTGAAAATATCTAGCACTTGTAGCAAGCTGTTTTATTCCAAAGCGTAATTTCTCGAGCGATGCCTTCGTTTTACCTCGTCGTTGGCTGTTCTAACCACAAAAAGAAGAATCCAGGGCTTTGCTTTTGTCGGGTGCCAAAAATTGTCACCAATCAAGGAGAAGAAACCGAGATTTTGTCTACCGAAAGGCGAACTCGGTGGTTAGCTGCCATTAGTCGAGCTGACTTGACGGGGAAAATTCTAGAAAATGACCGGGTTTGCGGTATCCACTTTCATTCGGGAAAAGCAGCACAATTATGGGATCGATTAAACTGGGTTCCTAGTTTGCATCTGGGGCACGACAAGCTATAGGAATCCGACGAGCGGAAAGAACAACAACAACAAGAAAGAGCACAAATGATTACCAAGAGGAGAAAACGCGAAAGAGAACGTGAGGAGCAGGAAGCTATGCAAAGGAAATCTGTAAAGGTGAATGAGCCTGGAGAGCGAATAAGAGATATTTATATGATGAATGAAGGAGAAACTTTTGGAGAAACTGGAGGGGAAGAGAAAGTAGAGAAGGCAAGCGTTGAAAACATTGCCTCAACACAGATCGATCCAGAGGGTTACAGCCGATCGTGCAGCACTCATACGGAGGAGTGTGACTACATGTTTAGAACACAAAAAACGTGGCTGCCTCAAAAATCCACTGCTTTTGAAGAAGATTACTTTGAAGGAGATAACGAGAAAGTGCGTTTTTATGCCGGTTTGCCGTCCTTAGAGATATTAAAGAAAATTTTCTCCTTCCTGTCACCACGTGTAACCAGACGTCCTCTTCTGTTGAGTAAACTTCATGAGTTTGTCTTGGTTCTCATAAAATTGCGTCTCCGGGTACCAAGTCAAGACCTTGCATATCGCTTTAATGTGTCTAGGACAGTAGTTTCAAGAATTATTGTCAGCTGGTTGACTGTAATGGAGGTGACATTATCATCATTAATTTCCTGGCCAGATAGAGAAGAACTGCAGAGGACAATGCCAAGATGTTTTATCGATTCATTTGGACTTAAAACATGTGTTATTATTGACTGTTTCGAAGTTTTCATTGACAGATCATCGAACTTATTCGCAAGGGCCCAAAAATTTTCGAATTACAAGCACCATAACACTATTAAAGTCTTGATTGGCATAACTCCCCAGGGTACCATTTCATTCGTGAGTGAGGCATGGGGTGGCCGTACATCCGATAAATTTCTTATACAGAAATGTGGATTTTTAAAGAACTTAGTTCCTGGAGATCTTGTCCTTGCCGACCGAGGGTTTACGGTCCATGAAGAGGTGTGGTTTCGCCAAGCTGAAATCAACATCCCTGCAGTTGCAAAAGGCAAAAATCATCTAGATCCTGTAGACATTGAGAAAACTCGAAAGATTGTCAATGTCCGCATTCACGTGGAACGTGTCATTGGCGTCCATAGACAGAAGTATACAATTCTTCAAAGTACACTTCCGACTGAATTTCTTACATGCAATCAGGGGAACCAAATTCCTTTGATTGGTAGGATGGTGAGGGTGTGCTCTGCCCTGTTTAACCTTTGCCCGCCTATCGTACCTTTTGATTGAAAAGAGCAGTACTCTTGTAGATTTTTTCTTCCCATTGGCACTAATTAGTAAGTTTTAATATGTAGTTCTAGAAAACTTCCATACCTTCCCCAAGGACGGTTTAATATAGCTGGAACCCTTCCACACCATCTGGTATTTCCAGTTTTGCTTCATACATTCCCTAAACATTTTGGCTTCTGAGAGCCCTCTTGCCCCCCTCTGAATTTTCAATGATCATCGTAGGGATGGGTATGGATATTTTCTGATACCACAATAGATACTGTCATTGTTCTGGTTCCTGATTTGCACAATTGCAAATACCACAGGGTTTATTGTAACACAAGCACAAGGTGCATTCTGGACATTTATGGACAACCCCTGAGGCTCGGTCCACAAAGCAAAATTTCATCTCTCAGTCTGGAATTTTACAGCAAAGCCCTCGTACCCGATTATTAAAGAGTGAATAATAATGACGGGTGATCAGGTTTAAAATACTGCATGCAAGTGAAAATCCATTAAATACACCGAGGCCGAGCGATTAATTGTAAGTGTAGTCGGGAATGGCAGGAAATTGCTCCATTTGACCAGACTTTAAACATTTTATCAGGTGTCCATGCATTTTTGGGATGTCATACTGAATAATTTTGGGAATACTGAATAATTTAATTTAATTTTCATTCATGAAAACAAGGCTTGTAGCATAAGCTATAGAAAACACACCACAGTCAGATCTATTCATTTGTTGCTGAACAGGAACAACTGAAAATTTCCTGAACTCATTACCAAGGTCTCGTGCTTGTTCTTCAATGTCATCACAACTAACATCGTGGAAAAGGCTGTCATATAAGTTGACATGGCCCTTAGTACATCCTATTGAGCACAGGCAAACCCAGTGTGTAACAACTGAACAAACTCTCCACTAACAACATCAAAGTTTTTGCAAAGACCAAGGGTTGGCCTTTGAAATCCCTCCATGTTTGGATTTATTTTTTTTAAGCAAAGCTGCGCTTGGTGAATTGTCGCACTATCTAACCATCCACAAGGACTTGTAATGAGTGCAAAATCCCTTTCAGTTAAACTGCCAAGTGAACTTGTCTTATCAACATCTAAGTTAATAGTAGTTCCAGTTAATAAGACATCTGGGTCAGTTGTTGAGGTTTGAGAGCCCATGGATGTCGATGGCTCACTTTGAAGGGTTTCAGAATGTATGCTGGCTGGTGATGATGAACTGCTTACAGGGGTCTCTGAATTGATGCAGACAGTTTCTGATGGCCTGCTTTTAGTGTGGCAATCCTGCACCACCCCAGGTTGTTCTAGTATTATTTGGATACCGTTTGTATGACATGCGTGCCACATGAAAGAACTTCCCACTTGAGCATAGTTCATTGGGACATTTCAATAACTTTTCATGGGGTTCAGCTTTCTTTTGACACACGCAGATCTTATTCAGCTTTGCTGCCTCAGCCATGTACTGATCTTTCAAATCTGGCATTTGCTTGGATTTTGGTCTTGCAAACTGGGGTAACTTTCTACAGTATGGGTATTACCAGACTTTTGTTACTTTCAGTTTATCAATACAGAAGCAAGATGGGTGGAATATAGACACTTTGCATTCAGGATTAGCACAGGTAACTGTTTCCTCATTTATGCTTTTTCTGCAGTAACAATCACCTGATGGCCAACTCTCCCTTGGACTTATCTGAGATTTTAAGTCCATATTTCTAGTGTACCAGCGACCTAAGATTTCTGGCAATACACAAATTCTCCAGAATGTCTCTAGCTTAGGGATTTGTGTCTCCCAGTGTTCAATGTCTGGTAGTAGTCTTTGCTTCACAAACTGATGCGATGTTCCATCTGTGGCTAACACAATGAAATCCAAATAAGCTCTCCCAGCAGTATGAATTTGTTGTTGAGATTGAAAGTAATAGTTATGGTCTCTTTTTAACATAAATTCATCTCCATGTTTGTCTAAACAAGAGGCTTTCATTTGCACATAACTGTCAAAGTCAAGGCCCTCGATACAGAAGGGGCACTTCACTTCTCCACAGCGCTGTCCACAACAATCACACTCACAAAGAAAATCTGGGGTTGCACGCAAAAACTGATACTTGTTGTTAATGATTATCCCACATTTGGTGACTACAAAGTTTGCATGAGTCTCTTTCATGGTTTTCTCATAAGCTGCGATAGTTAGCGCCTCGTCTTTGCATCCATTTTTAGAAGGTGCTGTACTAAACCGAAAAATATTTGGATAACATATGGTTTTGATCAAAGACTGCGATGGCTATGATGGATCTGTGTGGCTCGCTGCACTTGGAAGCATCTATCCTTCCAGCCCTTTGTCTAAAAAAGGCACTTCCTTTAGCCTGGTCAATAGTGTCCCATTCAGTTGCCTTTATTTGTTCCCCAGATAACTTTAAATCAACTTTGTAGCACTCCTGGAGTAGTTCAGGATAAGATAAATCAAGATATTTCTTTTCATACAAATCTGGGATAGCTTTGATATCCCGGGTGGTAGAAATAAATGTCTCGGAATGTGGATGGATCAAACTGAGGCAAACTGGTTTGACTCTGCACTCACTCAGTGCTTTGTAAAATTGCTGCAATTCATCCTTGGATGGTGGCTTTAATGCTGGCTTGTTCTCTGCAGGTGTGGGTTCATTGGACTGAGCTGCAGAACTTGATTTAGTGCTCGAGAAATTGACAGATGCTATTGACTTGTCAAGTTCACTTCTTATTTTCTTGGCCGACGCAAAATTAATATTCCTCACTCTCGCATACTCTACTTGTTTTACGGTGGAAGGTAAAGGCCATGTACATTTCACCTGAGTGCATGCAAGTTTTCCATTCAATCTTGTCCAGACTTCCAGATAAAAAAGAACACTCACGATATGAGAACAGCATTTTCCCAGCCCAGCCATACATACCGCACAATGCGCTGAAACAGCAGTTCCTTCTGTGGTTGTTATGATCCAGAGCTGCCCGTGGGGGTCATTCATCCTTTTTCGAATGCCTTACTTTAGCGAGAACAACAAATTTATCTTGGATTATTTGGCCAAGAACACTTGTAACAAAACCAGAAACCATTTAATTGTAGGAAGATAGGCTTCGGAAATTCTTGAATTGATCCTTAGTGTAGAAGCTGGTCTCGAGCACAAGATATGACAAAATATTACAAGCTTCGACAGGAGGAAGGCATTCCGAAGTATATTTCTGCACTGGAACGAGCAAAGGATCACTGAGATCTTTTCGACGTACCTTTTCTTAATACTGCCTTCCAGTGAATTGGCATAAGCGGAAAACATAAGCTTGGAACCCGCAATCGCTTTGTCCGAAGACGCATATTTTTGCAATTCACTGACCGCCATCTCAAGAATCACTCCTCCAACATGGCGGCGCCTCGTTTTCGAACTTTTCTATGACGTCACGCGAACAGATTCTATACAAACAACTTATATAGCGCTTATTACAAGCTTCTAACGCTTTACAACAGGGAAGAGAAAACCGTCTAACCCATTTGTACATTTTCGTACATGTTTCCATTCAGGATCTATTGGTTTTGTTTAATAATATTGGCTGCGATGGAGTTGTCGCTCGTTGTTGCCCGTGACTTTGGACGTGGAAAAAGCTTTCTGGACCCGAGTATACAGCCAAAAATTTCAGCTAGCAAATTTGGGTTTTAACAGAACGTGTTCGAATTCCTTGAAATATCCCTGATTCAAATACTGCTCCCTGCCCCACTAGGAAGTGATAACAAACTCAAATGGTAGATGTGAATGCTGGGATACTTTGAATCGTGAACATAGTGCTGTGGTTCACATTTTTCTTGATGTGATAAGGTTGCACGATATTCAAGGCAGCCCTTTTCCTTGTCTAGGGCTAGGCATTTTCCAAAATAGTCTGGTTTCTGTTCCATCTCGTTATTCTACCTCTTTAGAGCAAAAAACTTTAGAGCAACAAACGAATCCGTCTCCGAAAACTTTTAAGCAGATAACGTAGGCAGAATAGGTGTAGAAGAACATCGAACAAGGTTATTCTATCAAAAGTAAGTTCTCCCAAATTAAGTAAGCAGCAACCTGTTGTTCTTAAAATGGTGACTTAATTGTGTAAGTAGCTAAAAAGATTGCATAGGAAATTGTTAAAACAACAGAGGTCTTCATTTGCAGTCAGTAATAGCTGATTATTACCTCCCAATGCTCTTCTCCTTTTTTAAGCATAATGTTCGATTAAGCTAACGGTAGGATACAGATAGCACCCAAAACTTTGAAACAGACACTCACAAAATGCTTACTTTCCAACAAAACGTATCTCATGTGATCACGTGGTGAAACAGACTGATGACGAGATAGAATTAGATGAGGCCTGTTGAAAAGAGAGACAAAACCAATGGAAACACTTCAATATTTGAAATCTATTTTTATGTGCACGGATTACTTTCGCTTCTTAAATTTCTCGGAATTGAGATAGAGGTCCACCGAAAGAGAAGAGTCATTTTAAATTGAATGAGAAACATACGCACACTTCTGCATCATAGCATGGAAACACTAACGAAGTCGGCGCTTTAGCTGCTGTAATACTGAAAGAGTGCAAAGACCACGTGAAATAAAACTTAGAATTTTTATTGATTGCATATTTTATTCCTACGCATCTATTAGAAAGAAAAATTCCTTGTTGTTTGACGAAAAAAAAATGCGCACATGAATATATACCCAAAACTGCAATTCAGGGACAGTGGTAAGCCCTCGACGGGCCTTTTAAGAGTTTTGCGGCCGATTCCAACGAGCACAATCAGTACAAGACTATAATGTTCGACAACCCTCTGATCATTAGGTTGAAGACGATTTTTATGGTGTTTGCTTCATGTTCTTTATGTTCTCTATTTTCGATATCATCTTTTACTATGATTAAAATGATTATTTCAAACTGAGATCTAAAAAAAAACACCCTTTATGCCAGGATTAAATTATACCACAAATACTAGACAGAGAGATTCGTTCTGAGAGTCAACTCGTTTTGCGTTCGTGTTTTGCCTATCGTTCAGTTGACATTCAGAGACTTCCTTCCAGGTTTGATGAAATAAGAATAAAGATATGTTGCTTACAAGTTACAAATTTAACTGTATTTTATACATTTGGGGCATTCAATTGACCCAGATTGCCTCATCAAACTTGTTCAAGTTATTTTCCATCATTTCATAGTATTCAAATATTCTTTTTCTCCTCTTGTTCCAGCTGACAATGAAAAATTCCTCTTACTTCAAGAACGTGATTAGCATCCGAGCTTTTTCTGTGAAGACAATGTTAAAAGATCTTCGTAACTCTGTGGACAAAGAAAGGTAAGAGCAAATTACAAAATTCGCGAAGAGATCGGGAAGGGTGGAGAGGGGGTAAGAAAAGCAGCAGCACGTAAAACATTTTAAAATGCTATAATGCAGTCAGGGTTGTTATGGTTGACAATTTTTCCTAGCTGTCTGATAAGTTTTAATGGTTTTAGTTGCAGGTTCAATTACTAGCTATTCCTTAACATTATATGTCTTTCCAGGCATCTTTTGTTTCCTGGTAAAAATAATCCCCAACTTGCCCTCCTTTTATCAAAAGACTTTTTCAGTTTTCTAACTACTGATTTCTAGAAGGCCGTCATCGTTTTTGTACCTGAAGATGTAGGAGATCCGTAGGCAGTGAATTTCTTCGGTGGTGAGGTTGGATGTAGGACTTTCCCTTGCTAACTATCCAACCTAAACTCTTAAAACTGTAAAGTTTTCCAGGAGGAATACAGACCGCCCCTGAAACTGCACGGGATAAATTTTCCATCGGTATCGACGGCTCTCATTGCGGTCGGAATGCCAAGGAAGTCGTGGCGATTTAGATTAACCGGTCTGTGGTGAAATATGTTCTTCTTAATAAGAGTCACAAGCAATCTTAGGAGCCAGTTTGTGATTTTTTTTTAATTTGGTGGTACGCTTGAGGAATTGAGACGCTTTATATCTGCTGTGAGACAAAACTTGTTGTTTTTGACGCACACTGAAAGGGGAATACGCAGATAAATTTTCTCTGGATATCCTTCGTTGATGCCGCTCTTCAAAAATTCATTAATTCCTAGCCCTATTTTTATCCGATAAAGAAACAGTTCCTATCAAGACAATGAACATCCCATTATGGTGAAAGCCATCATTTTGTTAATCCTGTGCGAAACCTACGCCTACAAATTATGCGCAGATGGGATGTGCGATACGTTTTAAAGTAAATCGCTACGACAACCAATATTATGTCTTCTATAATTGCCGGAATGGGATCACGCCTTGTGGTAGCACAGTAGTGTACAACTTAAAAAACAAACAAACAAACCTTATTGTTATATCTACAATTATAAATAGAGTACAGACTCAGTTCGCACACAGGGTTGGCTAGTCGAGTCGAGCTGCGTGGAGAGAACGAAAAAAAAAACAAAAAACCACAACTTGAACCAGTAGTAAGCCTTTCAGCACCTATCTTAACTTAAAAACCTTGTTGTTTGTCAAGTGACCTAAAATCACGTCAGATGATCACAGTATGGTAAGCTAAAATTAATGATTCTGTTTCTACGAAATGCCCACAGCACCAGGGATCAAACGCTGAGGGCCCCGATCTCTAAACACCTTGTCTTGATTCCCAGAAACGAGGATTTACCTGGGAATTTAATAGGACCAAGAGTTTCGTCATCACCCAACGTGGTCAAAGTGTTGTTCAACGTGCATTTGATCAACGTGCTCCAATGGCAAGTCTTCGCGTTCGAATTATGCTTCATCTAGTTTAAACACCACACTAAAGCTCGTTGGAGTCACAACATGGATTTCATTCCATCTTAAATTGGGTCTTCTGCTGGAATTAATTTCTTTTTTGAAGGTTACCTTCCTTGCCTATGTTACCAAGGCGGAGACGCACCAAAAAGAAATTGAATATGACAAAGTCAAATTCGTTCTGTACCATCAGAAGTTAGTATTGAACGCTGCTTTCCCGCCTGACTACGACATGTTCTAGGTTTTTAATCAGTGGAAACGAGCGAGGAAGCGGGTGAGTGCCAAACTGCGGTTACGGTTGTCAGGGGAAGCTGACTATGCGCAAGTTTTTCCCCTGGATCCCACTGACCAAAAACCTAACAAAGTATGGCCTGACTACAGCCTTCCACGAGCGTTATCATATTTTCCAGATAATTCTATCATTATTTAAATTCCGCAAATGTGCAAAGTATTTGAGTTGTGTCGGTTTAGTATTACAATTGTAATGACTAAAGTATTACAAATGTTATAACTAAGGACCAACTGCTGCCGTTTTCTAAACTACATCCATCATCCAACTTTTACCTGTGCACCTGACGTTCTACTGAATGGCCATCCACTGTCCGAGTCATTCGAACCAGGCGCACCACAATTTTCCCGCCTATTCTCCATTCCTTGCATTTCCACTGAGACATAACATATAGATTTAGCTAAGCCTAAAAGCGGAGCTCCCAATAAGTGAAAATTTTACAATAACATTTCCTTACCTCTATTAAAATTTTTTAGCCAAAAATTAATTCAGTATAGATTAAACCCATTGACACTTACGTGTAACACGTACCTGTGTAAAGTCAAAATTTTGGAGAAACCAAGAAAGCAAACACAATGCGCAGTAAATTTTTAAAAATCATCTTTTCCAAAAAAACAAGCTCCAGTGAAAAAAGACTAATTAAAGAACTGATTTCCAACGAAAAAAGCGATAGGTGCATATTACGTTTTAACTAAAAAATCAAGATTAAAGATAAAAATCGCTAAATATTTTCGCATGTGTGCAAATGGGCATCATATTTCAAAATGGAATATGCGAGTTTGTCCGTGTGTGATGAGATCTCAAGTTCCATGGAATCTATCAATAGGAAGCACGACTAAATGGCCAAGAAATATTTCGGGACGACAGATTTATTCAAAACAGTTTTTGATTTGCAGTTATAAGCGAAAAACGTACGAATTTCTTACGTGTACAAAGCCCACGGGGTAAAATTCATCATGCTTAGATCGTTGTTTACTTGCCTTCAAGGCCAGAAATTGCGCAGCGTTATGTTGAAAATTCCGAAAAAACTTCGATTTGACGCAAAATCTTCAATTAAACAATACGTTTTTAACACATTCTTACCCGAACATAAGATTTACCGGGCCATCGAATCGTCAAATTGTCGCTAGGCCCTGCTTGAAGTCCGAAAGTTCGGTTTTCAATTTGCGTCTATAATGCGCAACGTCTTAGAGAATCGTAGTGTCGTTGACTCGAGAGCTTATTCTGTCCCCTTTAAGACCTTGATATCCATTCTTTTCCAAGCAGAGTATTCTATAACATTGTCACTTTACATTCTGAGCTCCACAAGGTCTAACTCGATCGCAAATGAACGAAACTCTGATCTGAAAATTTTGAGGGTCGGCCGCGCGGACGCCATATTTTAAAATTTGATCATATAGTATTTTCGGGATAGCATACATGACAGAGAGCACGTACGTACGTACGCTCGGTCAGTCACTTGACAACCAAACGAAAATAGGTTGACCATATTCCATGGGAATGGGGCTCTGCTCCACGCGCGCGAAGCGCGCGTGGGATCCCCGCTAAAAACTTACTCACGAAGACGGGCATTAACGGTCTCAAGATTAACTTCAAAGTTCTCGATTGGCAAGCTTTGGTCTCATATAGCTTGCTATTAATTGAAAACGAAGTCTTGAAAACGTCCTTTTGAAGATGACTGTCATTTGGCCCCCATTTTACGCTTCTTTTCGATATTGCAGCCACAGAGACAACGTTTACTGAACATTTTTCTAGATACTTCGACTTCTAATGATCGCATGTGGTCCAATTCCTCCAGCAGAGGGCTAATGGGGAAATGCAGGACCTGGCTCTTTTTTTCTTTCTTCTTGCCTTAGCCTTGTGCATAATAAACTAGTGCAATAGGAAAACATTCACAACCAGAGTATGGGTAACAAGGCGAGATCGTCGTTTTTGATGTGTCATATAGAACTACTTTTATTCACAATTATTGCTGGAATGCCAATGCTAAAGAGGCAACTATTTTGTTGAGGTTGAGAGAACATCATTTTAGCTTAAAATGAGCTTCTTCTTGTCGTTGTTGATAGGAAAAAGTGGTGGCTCAAAAAACAAGTATGCCGAAGAAATATCTAGCGAAAACAAAAACTGTGCACTGTAAGAACTCCATGAAAAGTAGGCTGAAAGGCATGTTCTCAAATCTTCTTATTTTGGATAACACTTAATAACTGGAAAAGAAAAGAAAAAACGTCTTGTGAGGGTCTTGGGATAATATTTCTCAATCAATTTTGGAAGTTGTGACCTTGTTTCCCTTAGTGTGGCCTTTCAGCACTCCCTTCCCTTCATGGCCAATTTTATATATCAGTTAAAAATGAGCAAAGTAGGGTAACATTTTGATTAAATTCAGAAAAAAGCATGAAATACTATGAGGGTGCCGTTGAGCTTGTTAAAAGGCCTATTTCTCGATGATAAGCTTAAGGGACTAGCATCTTTTAATCACAACTTTCTATTCGATCATGCACCACTTACTTGAAAACATATCAGCATTTCTCTTTTCTCGGGGTGTTTGAAAATTGAAAACTTTTTCACATAACAATTGTCTATATATAATCACAGATACAAAACTAAATTCTTACTTAATATGCACATCGCTTTCCGAAATCCTTGCCGATCTCCCGTTGGATGATGAATTTACGATATCTTGCATTTACTTTTATTTAGGTGGATGATTCACCCACATACGGTCAATGCCTTTTATGATAGAGTGACCAACAAAATCAGTGAGTATATGAAACTAATCGTCGATAGAAACGTCAAATACAAACAAGTAACTAATTTTGAAGCAAGAATAATCTAAGCCAAGAACTCTGATCCCCTAGTCTCCTACATTCCTTAGTCTCATACATCTGAGAAACTATCGGTTAGCTCAATATATAGAGCGCTGGACTGTTGTGCGGGAGGTCAAGGGCTCGAGCCCCGGCCAGACTAACAATCAGGGTCTTAAAATAATTGAGAGGAATTTACTTACCTTTCGGTAGGGTTGGGGGTAGGAGACGTTAATTTCCCACACACGAGATTACTCTGTGATGGATGTCCTCCCCTGTGTGGGATGGGTGGGTTTACTGGGCCCGCAGTGATTGGCGCAAGCTGTTGCAGCGTCACTGCCTGTCCCTTATAAATCAATTAAATCAAATTAAATCAAAAATCAAACCAGAGCTTTACTGAACAAAAATGAGCGACGAGACTTAAGGTAATGTTAATTAAATATGACTTACAGTACGAGAATTATAACAATTCCTGTCACCATAGAAATGATTCATGCGCGATATTGACACAGCAATCATACAGCACTGCACAAAAATTACTTAACGTTCTAGACAGATTGAAGTAACCAATCGCCCCTGACCTTTCGTTCTACCGTGACAGTTGACAGTTTCGTTATGAAAAGTTTTCTCACCGTGAATGCCCTATAAAAGATGATTCCTCTAAGTCATCTGACTCGACGTTTTTGCAAAACGTTTTTTCAAAATCTTTCTTTGTTGGTGTAATAGATTAGTAATATAGGGAAATTCCGGCATCGAACCAATTCATTCGTAATAAGTCGATCCTTCATTTGATTCAGTACTTTACAAAAGTGATGCAAACGGTAATTACCGAATATCGCGATCATCGCCATATATCGGCGATATTTAAGCGATATTTTCGTTGGAACGATATGTCGCTGATATATCGCAGTGCTATTGTTTTAACAAGCGCGAGCTATCGCCGATATATTGTTGAGCTGCTCGCAAATCATAGCTTTCCCTAAGCGATATATCGTTTGAGCTCAGAGATATATCGCTGCAGTTCAACGATATATCGTTTTCACCTGATATATCTTTACATCCAAAGAGCTATCGCTGCCGCTTAACGATACTAAGCGAAATATCGTAACGGCCCAGCGACATATCGTTTGCGGTCGGCAAGACATCACCACCGCTAAGCGTTAGATCGGTGAGGCAGCATTGCGCCGCTTGGTGAATTTTTCATCAGGATAGTGTTTGAGTGTGTATCATAATAAACCTTGTGTATCATTCTATTCGCACTGTTTCACAGGCGTGAAATGGTCAGTTTAATAAGTTTAAACCAGTTTCGCTGCATACCGAGTCTACTATGGTTGAAGTTCGCCACACGTCCGCTGCACATCAGTTATGCAAGTTCGCTACTACACAAAAGAATAAAATTAAAAGAAAGACTATATTTATTTCGATACTATCCAACAGACGAGAATAGCGAGAGTGAAATAAAGACAGTTGTGAAAACGGTACTCAGGGAGGGTATAAACTCTGCTCTTTTAGCGCGTTATTGTCACTCCATTGCAACTTACCTGTATTTGCATACAAGGTACTCGCACGACACTAACGTTGACAGTCAGTTTTAGCATAATCATGCCGAGGTGACAAAAACGTTTTGATAACATGCCTTTATTACAGAAAAAATCCACAATAAACTTGATATTGCATGAACAAAGTAGTCCTTGTATGACAAACACCGTATTATCATTATTATTAATATTATTATTTTATTATTTTACGCTTACAAAAACTTAAGATTGTTAATGAGTTTAAAAAACCAAAAAACAAGAATCATACCACTTTTACAACAAGCTCTCTTGAACAATAAACAATAGGTTAGTCCTGCGTAGGTCATACCATCAGTACGTTTCCTTTTTTTATTGCACACATGAGACCAAAATTGAGACTACAACTCTGTTTTAGCTAAAACTCGCCCCCCCTCCCCCACACAGTGTGGATACTTTTAGAATAGCAGAATCGGGCGTCGATATTCCTATTGTTTGGTTATTTTTTGCTGGTGCCACAGAAAACTCAAGCGTGCGCGTATGTTTCATTAAACTAAAAAAAAAACAAGAATTTTAGCACTTTCAAAGTACCCGCCTATGAAATATGAAAAGCTTCCATCGAACTTACACCTCTACTGTTATGGAAAACAAAACACCAAGAAAACAACGTAAACGTTTGCCCTTCAGGGACTCTCAGAGGACGCTAAGTCACTTTCTGCAAAATTTCGCCACGTTTGCGGGCACTCTTAATTTCGCATCATCAAAACTAAGAATTAAATAAACCTCAAATCTAGGCTTTCATATGATATAAGTTTCATTAGATTTGATTACGAATGGTATTCATAAGAACGAAACTCGTGTTTTAGCTCACGTTAGCTGCATTTTTACGCGCTTTTGATGTCAAAATATACTACTTCTTCTTAGCCTTCCGCAAAGGACAACTACGTAAGGGACAGCGACGAAGATTCTCAACATGAGAAAGAAAAGCACCAAAATTAATTTGATCTTCATTTACCAACTTGACCATAGGGCGCTTTGAGCGATACTTTAATAAGATCATTTCTTTACAAATTAACTACGTTTGTTGAATATCAAATCTCTTGTGGTATTCCTCGTTTCATAACACTGCAACGAACTTCAAATCAAGCCCGTATATAAGCTGCCTGCTTTTAGTATCACTACATGTATCTTATGACTACGCTGTCATTGAATGTTAGTTTTGCTGACGCACTGAGATAACATAAGCAACATACATATAAAAAAATGGGGGGCAGGAATCTAAAATAACTTACAATTGTTTCGCGTGAATGAGATGTAGTAGACAAATATTTTTCGCCATACGAAAAGTCGCTTAGGCGATATATCGCTGAAACGATATTTCACTGAAGCGATATATCGTGGTGATGTTCCGCACGCTCTACGATACATCGTTATGGCGGTATCGCTGGTCCAGTGGAACGAGATATCTCATAGATTCATCGTTATAAGGTATCAAAAAAATGAACGATATATCGCCGATAATCGGCAATATATCAGAAGAACAAAGCACGATAAACGACGATAATCGTTTGCATTACTTTTGCAGATTACTGTACACAAGTAATACAATTCCGGAGGGCTGGGACTGGTACGGGAGGGGTGAAAGTCATCAACTCAGCTCCTTTCACTTTTCGAAGCGCCAAACGAGTTATTTCCATACAAATGAGAAAGAATAGGCACTCGTCGAGATTCTAAAAGATTGAGACAACAACGAAAACGATCGAAATCCGAGAATGACAAGGCTTTCTACATTTTCGAAGCTCTTGGCAGCCAGCTAAAAGAAATCCCCCCTGAAAAAAGAAGAAAAGGTCTGCATTATAGAGACACAATGGGATTTACTGGGAAAGGGCTAACATCGGGAAGACAGAATGAAAATAGATTCAGAAACCAGCACCTTAGAAAGCGGACGTTTCGAACGTTAGCCCTTCGTCAGAGCGAATGGAGGAACTGTGGGTTGTTTGTGTGTTTATATGCAGGCAGAAAGTGGAGTTACGCTATTGGGGGAAACATGGCGACGAGAAAAACACGAATAATTTAGTAGACTGAAAAGCGTTCGTTGATACCTATGAGATTAAGAGTACCGATTTGAAAGATAAACTTTTGTTCAAAAATTTTGCGGCTTTCCGCGGAGCTAGCTAAATGTAAGGAAAGACCGCAGATTGCCATATGTTGCTTAGAATGATTAGGTAAATTAAAGTGTCTAGCGACTGGTTTCGATGCGTCTTTGTCATTCCTTTCTACGTTGCGAAGGTGTTCTCGGAATCGGTCACCCAGTCGTCTTCCTAGGTCTGTTTTGCCGATGTATATCTTTTTGCAATAATTGCAAGTTATGCAATAGATGACGTTGGAAGAGGTGCACGTGAAGTGATCGGTGCTCTTAATGGATCGTTTGGGTCCCGATGTTTTCTCAACGTTGTGAATGAAAGGACAAGTTTTGCATCGTGCGCGAGCGCATTTAAAAGTGTCGGGTTGGTCATTAGTTTGAAGTGAACTTCTGACTAAAAAACTACCTATGTTTTTGTTGCGTTTGAATGAAACGAGTGGAGGTTGCAAAAAGATAGTGCCAGTCGCTGGATCGTTTTGAAGTAATTTAAAGTTTTCAAGAATAGTGGATTTAACTGAGTGGTCTTGAGGGTGAAACGTGAGAGTGAATGGAATGCGGTCGGAATTTTCCTTCTGTGACGTTTGTTGTGCTGACTGTCGATCAATAAGTTGGGCGCGGTGGTAACAACGTTTTTCGAAAAACTGGCACACTGACTCTGATTTGTGGAAGAAATCATAGTCATCGCTACATAAACGACGAATTCTTAGAAACTTAGAAAAGGGAGTGGAATTCTTAACATGGGATGGATGCGAAGATGAATACAGCAAGTAGCTATGTGAGTCTTTAGGCTTGTAATACACACAAGTGCATAAACCTTTGCCTCCAATTGAAACTTTGATGTTAAAAAAGGATAAAGAATTGTCGGAAATTTCCCAGGTATATTTTAGAGCCGGGTGAAAGGAACTGACTGCAGTTATGAATTTAGTTAGCTCCTCTCTCAGTGGTAGAGGAGGTAGCGCCGATACAGTCGTCAATGTAGCGACCGTAGAGTTCAGGTCTGAGGCCGTTGTATTGGCTAAAAATTTGGTGTTCGACAAAACCTACAAAAAAATTGGTATACATGGGTCCCATTTTTGATAGCTGTAGGTTTGTTTGAAAAAGTTGTCCCTGAGTGAAAAACAATTGAGTGTGAGCACTATGCGATTACTGGTTGATGATTGAGTGAAGGTTGTTCCTATTGAATGTGAATAACTTCTTTTAAGCCGTGGAAGCGTTTCTAAGATGCTAAAACGCTCCTCAGAACGTGATGTTTTCACAAAGTAATTAATCTTGGTTTCAAAAGTGGTCCACAAGAGACGCCTAAGAGGTTGATAATCTGTTTATTGGCTTAGATAGTGATCCATAGCCCATTGTGATTAAAGATGCACAATATTTCCTTTTTGATTTTCTCTGACTCTCTCGGTGTGGCGTAGGAAATGGCTATTCCTTCGTTCCGGTGAAGCCCGATGTTGATGTCGAGGTTTTACAGGAAAACGGAAACTCCCTACTAACTCGCAATTTTCAGCGCCCATCGTAACGTCAAATGTTGTGTCGCTCTTCTTTTGCCAAGGTTGCTTTTTGTGTATAAGGATCGAATTTTTAGCACTTGTTATGATGTTTCTTTCGTCGTCGGTGATATTGCCGCAGGCCGAGGCAAAGTCGAATGCTCTGCTTGGAAGGTCTGGGCTGATGGAGGGGTAGAATTCTTCGATGTCAAAGTAAATAAAACTGTGGTGTTGTTTGTTTCTATTAGCCTTAAATCATTCGACCACGGATGCCGTGTTTTTCCATTAACTGAGTTTAGATGCTCCCGTGATTTTATTGTTGATTCTGCCGAGGAAATTTTGGTGATTTTGCCTATCTCGGATTTGGTTGGGTTGACCAGTCGGCAGGTGGGTTTGTTAGCGAAGTTTGGTTTGCGGTCTTTCAGTGTTATGAATGCGTTTTTGTTAACTGAAGTTTCCACCCTGTCATCGATGCCCGGTTTCGTTGCCATGTTTTTGTTTTCTGAATGGATGGCACGTGTGGTACTAGGTTGTGATTTCTTGTAGAACTTGGTGATGTTTCGGTCGTTGCATGTTGACGGTTCCATTCTGCAAAAGTTCGTTGTTTTTTCAGCGGCGATGAATAGCTTGGCTTCGTTTTTAATGCATTCGGTATCGTCTTTGAGTTTGTCGAGGAAAGGTTTGCTTACTTTTCGGAATTTCGTTGATTGTATCATCTTTAACATGCCGTCTTCAAATTCCTTGAGCTCGTCGATCGGCGGGGGGTGAGGGGGGGAGGGGTTCTTGGAAGACTTGAAGCCGTATGTGTCCTTCGAGGGGGTGTCTTTTGAAGCGGTGTCATCGATATCGACAATCACAACAAGCGTATTTTAAATTCATCCGAACACATCGATGACACCGCAGAGAACACTAACACGAAGAGACAACAAAACTTGCAACTGCCGACAAAACAACACATGCCCTCTCAAAGGAGAATAGCTCCGACCATCAGTTATTTATCAAGCTACCGCACTACTGAAACGTACATCGGACTTACAGAAAACGACTTCAAGAGAAGATACAGTAACCACACTGCATCATTCCGTCAAGCAAAACACAGAAACTCTACGGAACTCAACAAACATATATGGACTCTCAAAGACAATAACATTGACAGCTTTATTTTATGGCGTATACTTTCATCAAGCTCACCCTATGTTAGCGCAAGTAAAAGATGCAACCTCTGCCTCAGGGAAAAAAATACTAATCATCTTCCGACCTGAATTTTCATCACTCAACAAACGTAATGAACTTGTGTCCTCATGCAAGCACAGAAACAAAGCGTCAATGCGTAATAACTGAACAAAGCGTTTAAATTTAAATTTACCGCCACACTTATTATGCAAATTCTATAGGATAAAAACGATGATTACGCGGAATATTTTTGTCATTAAAATCCCCTGAAGAGTGAGAAATTACGAAACAGGCCAGCAGGGACCAAAGTGTGGTCTTTATATTTTCCAAGCTCATCATATATCCCGCTCTACTGTTTTGTATCGAGCTCTATATTACGGTATTATTATATTATTATATAGTATAAGCATTTATTGGTTTGGCAGAAAGTCGGATGCTAACGGTCATAGCGGGCATTAGCCTTTTCACATAGCTAGGTTTTAAACTCGCAGGTAGAGTGTGATAAAATTCGTTTGACCCGTTCGTTATAGAGAACAATGACGCACACAAATGTAAAACTTGGAAGTGAATCCATGCGAATTACAGTCATGTTGCATCTAAGCATTCAGCTCAGGTATCAAAAGGCCAGTGTACAACACCTCCTTGAATTTGAGACAAAGTGTTGTCTTAGCTGAGTCTAGAATCTTAACACAGTAAGCTGAATGTTTCTGGTTACAACTTGGAAAAGAACAAAAGTGCTTCCACAGCTTTATCTAATCAAACTGGGAGTTGGGAGAGTTATTGAAAGTTCATGAAAGCCTCGATTGTGGCTCGGGTACTCACAATGTATAGCCAGGGCCGGTTTAGATCTATTTGACTGGCATATATCCGTCTGCAAGTTACACAAGCTATGAATAGGAAAAAAAATTATTCCGATAACTCAGTGACTTAGGAAATTTTAATTGAGGCTACTTCTAGACCGTGCAAACCTACGTAACGTAATCTTATCTCTTCTGCCTTATTCTTATATGTAGCCTATTATATGTAGCCCTTGGGATGATTAGCAAGAACAGATCGGGGTGTGGATCGCTGAGATGTTTTAAAATAAATGTTTGATTTGTATCTTACTTATGTTTCGCCTCTTATTTCATTGGCAGTTTTTCCTGCTGGAATACTTCAAATTCCATTTTACTACAGAAAATTTCCTCGGTAAGTGTTTTGAGCATGGGCTACATGCAATCTCTTTCCAACTTTCGTCAGAGACAGCAAGCATGCGTCAATAGAATAAAATTTGCTCTGTAGTTGTGCGTGGCACACAGGAACAAAATGTCTAGTGTCTAATCCTCATTTTTATTTTAACATATTTTGCCATGAACGAGATAAATTAAATTCCTTTTAGTACCAACTTAATTTTGATTTTTACCAGCCGCCGGTGGAGAGTGTTATTGAATTCCTCGGTGAAGCATTGTTACTTTTATGACAAATCAATTGATAAATGCACATTAACCTCCTGAAGGTTCAGGAATTTACGAGAAGGACTTGTAATGTAAGTCACCAGATCAAATGGCATAGAATCTCGCTGAAGGTGAGATAATGCGAAGGTGAGATAATGCGAAAGAAGAAGAAGAAGAAGGAGATAATGCGAAAGAAGAGGAAGAAGAATTGGGGGATGCGATTGGTCGTAAGGCGATATTGTTGAGTAGGGGGAAACTTCCAATGTAACATAAGGAGGTAAAAAAATAATGAAATCAATAACAATAACATTTATTATTTGTATTGCGCCTTTTCTATAAAATATTCAAAAGCGCATCACAACAGTAATTAGTAACTAAAATTATACAATTCTTTCTATAAAAATCATAAATTATATATATTTATTATATAGATACTGATGAAATACCAGGATTTCTCCTTTTACTAAAAAATCATATCTTCACCGCGCGCAGTAAAGATACTATTTTTATCTTTCACGTGTGAGGATATTGGTGTGGCCATGGTTACCAACGTAATTACCCAATTACAATAGAACTTCTCGCTCAGGCGCGCGGTCGGTTGATTTGAAATTTCATCAGTATCTATATAATAAACAGAACATTACATGACCGCTTGTGGATACGAGTTTTATCTTCTCGTGCTGAAAGTATCTCTCACGAGGGAGCGCAGCTCACTCGTGAGAGATACTTTCAGCACGAAAAGATAAAATTCGTATCCCCGCGCGGCCATGTAATATCCTCTATTTATTTACATTAAATTAATGAAAGATAATTACAAATAAAAATATAGATATACTATGATTAATGAAATGATTCCTTAAATAAAAATGTCTTAAGTAGAATCTTAAAAGATTCTAAGTTCGTTGCCTCGCGCGCGGACCTTAGCAGCTTATTCCCTAGGAAAGGAGCAGCTACCAGGAAAGCTCTGTCACCCAATGTTTTCTTAGTTTTCACACTTGGTCTTTCCAGCGAGCGACCATTATCGTTGCGCCTCAAATGGCAGGACGAAGGCCGTTGAATACTAATTAAATCTGAAAGGTACTTAGGTGATAGGCCATGCAGAATTTTAAAAGTTAGCAAGAGTATCTTATAATGTATCCTGAAGCGCACTGGTAACCAACGTAGTTCAGCGAGTAGAGGTGTAATATGACAGAACTTTTGCGCACGATATACAAGTCTCACACTAGCATTCATAGCACGTTGCAATTTCATAATTTGATATTCTGGGATTCCGTACATAAAGCTATCACAATAATCCAGTCTACTACTAATTAAAGCATGAACTAATTTCTCAGTAGATTCCCTGGATAAATATTTCCTAATATGACGTATATTGTATAAATAATAGAAAGCGCAGCTACAAGTCTTTGTAATGTGAGCCGGCTCCCATATCCAGTCAAAGTCCCAAAAATCAGCTCCTATATTTATCAAAAACAGGGAAAGGAAGACGTTGCGAAATAAGAGTTTCAAGAATAATGATGGATAAAGCTTAAGGAATGAACATTAGCTGACACAAAAGTTCGTTCGCCGGATCAAAGAAATAAAATTTTCAAAACTAAAAAGAAACCATGAAATGCAACAGTATACCATGCACATTGTAATTTTCCTTACTGCAACTACCAGCAAGATAGAAGACGACCTTCTAATCCTGTTTCCATCTCTTTTCTTACTCATATTAAGATGATATTAAACAAAGAAAACGTAGCAAAAGAGAAATAATATGTAACTGACACTTTCATACTTTGACATCTGCACACCTTCTTTTTAATTACCTCTGTAATGATCAGCGGTATTTCGTATGAGTATAGACATGCGCATTGGCACCAGCACTGGTTGGCCATGTTTGAATAAAACTTGCATCTTGCTTACTAAAACTGTGTTTATCCTAATCCATCGTGCAAGAACATTACATGATGTCAGGAGTAAAGCACGAAACAGAAACTCAGCCATCCGTCTGGCGAAGTTTTGGATAAAATACAGACTGTATTTCAGAGCAATTAACATCGGCGATCGTAGTTAATGTCACAGGATCAGTTGACTCTTGTCACGCCCGAGGGGGAAGAAAACATCGAAGAAATATAGTAAATACAAGTTGAAGACGAAGAAAACACCGAAGAAATACAACAACCAGTTGAAGTCGAAGAAAACACAACCGAAATGGCGATGCACCTAGGCCTTCCACCTCCAGAACTTCGCGACTTTAGTGGGGGAAACATCTCGGCCAACTGGAAGAAGTTCAAACAGAAATACGTAAATTACGAAGTTGCGACCGGTATAAGCTCGAAGGAGAGTGCAACCAGAAAAACAACACTTCTGACAGTTATTGGCAACGATGCTATCGATATTTTCAACACTCTAACCTGGGATGAAGAAGGCGATGACAATCGAAAAGGTACTGTTGAAATTTGAGAAACACTGTGAACCAAAGAAAAGTGTCAGCTACGAGAGATACAAATTCTTCCATAGAGCCCAAGAAAGTGCCAAAAGTACCGAACAGTACGTAACGATATCAAGAAAGCTCTGTGAAACATGTGAATTTGGAACATTGAAGAACTCTCTCATCAAGGACCGAGTTGTACCTGGTGTAAACAACACAAAAACAAGAGGAAGATTAGTCAGGGTGGCAGACCTTTACACTTGAGAAAGCATTGGATGTGGTACGATCTGCAGAGGCAATGGAGATTCAAAGGAAAGAACTGGACTGCGACTCACCAGTGCATGGACTTGAAAAGAAGAAAAACAAGTTACAGACAAAAAGACACCCTCAGATAATGAAGAAGAAAGACCTCCGAGCAAGAAGTTCAATTGCTAGAACTGCGGAACCAGACATAGTGTAAGAGTGACCTGCATATGGCAAAACATGTAACAATTGTCAGAAACGAAATCACTTCCAGAGTGTGTGCAGATCACGGAAAGAAGTCCATGGACTGGACGTAGAACAACAGGAAGAAGAACAAGATCTTATCTCAACCCTATTTGTAGGAGCTGTCACTATAGAAGTTTAGATTCATAATGAGGAGTGCTATGTGATGTTGCCAGTTAAAGGGCATATCACAAAACTCAAGATAGACAACAGCTCTCAAGTTAACATCATACCGTTCAAAGACCTAAAGAAGATAGTTGGAAGCAACCCACAGATAAACTGCCTGCACCCATAATCTAGTCTGTTACTCCGAAGACAAGCTAACTGTACTTGGTACTGCTAAACTACCAGTGAAATCTAAAACAGATGTAGAACATGAGCTGACATTCCACATGGTGGAAACAAATCAACCAGGATTATTGGGGCTCACATCATCTAAAGATCTGGGTCTAATCAAAGTAGTTATGGTGGCCAAGACAGATGAAGACCAAACTCAACCAGGCAGAGGAGAGGAAGCTACGAACTGCGGAACCAGACATAGTGTAAGACAGAAGTGGCCAAGAAAGAAGAAGACCAAACCCAACCAGACAGAGGAGAGGAAGCTACGAACTGCGGAACCAGACAGTGAGCTGACATTCCACATGGTGGAAACAAAGCAACCGGGATTATTGGGGCTCACATCAGGTAAAGATCTGGGTCTAATCAAAGTAGTTATGGTGGCCAAGACAGAAGAAGACCAAACCCAACCAGACAGAGGAGAGGAAGCTACGAAGTTGTCCGAAGAACTGAAAGAAGAAATACTGCAAAATTACACGAGGGTATTCACAGGGTTGGGACGTTAGGAGAAACCTTACCACATTGAAGTAGACCCTACTGTGACACCTGTCGTAAACCAACCTAGAACCATCCCAGCAGCTCTTCGCGACAGAGTGAAGGAAGAATTGGATGACATGGAAAAGCGAGGAGTTGTTCCCAAGGTAGACGAACTCACAGACTGGGTGAACTCTATGGCCATAGTTGAAAAGCCTAACTTTAGTCTGCGGATCTGTTTAGATCCAAAGCACCTCAACAAAGCGGGCACATTTTCAGCTACCCGCCATCGAAGACATCACTATACGTGTGGCAAATGCAAAATGGTTGACTAGGCTAGGGGCACACCGAGGATACTGGCAGATACCTCTTGACGAAGAAAGTTTGGGCGGTACCGCTACCGGGTCACTCCATTTGGAATCACATCTGCCCAAGAAGTTTTCCAAAGCGGATGAGTCAACATTTTGGCGACTTGGAAGGAGTTGAAACTGACATCGATGACATAATAGTGCATGCGTAAACAGAAGTAAAACATGACCATCGTCTACAAGCTGTCCTGGATCGATGTGAGAAGATTAACTTAACACTAAACAAAGCAAAGCGCGTCTTCAAAGTCAAAGAAGTTACCTACCTTAGTCCCAAATTCGCACAAGAAGAAATCAAACCTGATGATGAAAACGTGTGTGCCATTAATGACATGTCTGCACCAACTAATAAGAAAGGAGTAGAAAGACTACTTGGAACAATCAACTATCTAAGTGAGTTTATACCAAATCTGGCAACCATCACTGAACCTATCAGAGTTCAGTGGTCAAATTTCAGTGGTCATGTGAACAAGAGAAAACGCTTCAAGAAATCAAAATCATCCCAACCAAAGATGAAGGGCCAGTCCTGAGATTTTTTGATGTTCAGAAGCCTTTTGCAATCAGCTGTGATGCCTCCCCATCCGGTCTAGGAGGGGTGCTGCTGCAAGATGGACGTCCTGTTGCCTATGCTTCAAGATCCATCACTGATGCCGAATCAAGATATGCTCAAATTGAGAG